GTTGGAGCACAGCATTTTTTGCAGCTGTTTTGTGCTGTAGGTTGTATGGGTGTTTTCTTGAAGCCCTGCAAGGCAAGATTTTTTTTCCCTTTCAGAATCTGCAAAATACAGTGCCTGCTCTTTAAGACTCTGCTGAGAAGCAAGCCTCCCACAGCTGCTTCAGACTTAATTTTGATTTTAATTGCCTGTTTGGAGCATTGTCCTCCCACGCTGCCTCTGCTACATTTCCTATGTTCAAATACAAAGTTTAAAATGAAAATGAAGCTTTAAGAGCAGCTGTGGAGGTGGAGAAAATGCAGATGCAGTGCAGCCGGTCTTGGGGATACTGCAAAACAATGACATGTGTCCTGGGGGGTTGGCAGGACTTAAATGTAGAGACATTATAAAAGAGAGAGAGGTAGCACAGCACAGGGAGCCCTGATTTACACTAGGGGGTTATTTTGAACTAACTCCCTTAGGTTGACTTTATAAGCGGTGCGTACACACTACCAAACCCGTTATTTTGAAATAATGGGCTGGTTATATCAAAATCTGTACTCCTCCTTTCCTCGGGGAATAACACTAATTTGAAATAGCATTTGTGTGGATGCTCCAGTGCTGCTAATTTGAGGCCTCCCATAGCTGCAGCTCTGAATGCTCTGGCCACACCTGGCATCTCCACTGCTCCCCTCCTCCGGCGAAGCTTAAAACTCCCGGGAGCAGGAGAAGGGCTTCTTACATGTGACCAGCTTTGGAAGCCCCAGGTGAGACAGCAGCCAGTGAAGTAGTCATAAGCAACCCAAACGCTCCCTCAGAGCCTCCTATGGAGGCCAGCTCCCTTTGCTACCACTGGCAATGGATGCAGGAGAGCTCCAGGCTGATCTGGAGCGGAGATCCTGGACCTCATTGAGATCTAAGGGGGTATGTCTACACTGCCACCCTAGTTCGAACTAGGGTGGCTAATGTAGGCATTCGAAGTTGCAAATGAAGCCCGGGATTTAAATATCCCGGGCTTCATTTGCATCTTGCCGGGCACCGCCATTTTTAAATCCCCCGTAGTGCGGACTCCGTGCCCGCAGCTACACGCGGCACGGAGTAGGTAGTTCGAATTAGGCTCTCTAATTCGAACTACCATTACTCCTCGAGGAACCAGGGTGAGGGAACCAACCTCCAGGATCTCCACATCAGAAAGCAAAATGCCAAGGTCTACGGCCACATTGCTCTCAGCCTGGCTGAGAAGGGCCACACCCAGACACTCAACCAGTGGCGAATGAAAATCAAAGAGCTCCAGCAGGTCTACCACAAGGCTAGAGAACAGAGTGGATGCTCTAGGGTGGCACCACACAGCTGCTGCTACTACGACCACCTGGATGCCATCCTGGGAGGGGAGCTGGTCATGTCCCCCATCATCATCATCACCATGATGGAGACTGCCCAGGATATGCCCAGTGTCAGCCTCCAGGGGCATGGGGTGGCAGACAACGATGATAAGGAGGAGGAGGAAGCCAGCCAGGTGACCATTCCCACCAGCCAAGAGCTGCTCCTCACCCTGGAGTCAGTTCTGGCCCTCCTCCTCTCCCTCCACTTCCCCCAGGATGTCTCCCAGGCCTTGGATGAACCTGGGGAAGGCACTTCAGGTGAGTTCTATAACTTTTCCTATACAAATGCAGGGGCAAGCAGCAGGCCGCACATGCAGCACTGGTCTGGAGCACTCAGCCCCATGATACTCTCACACAGGAACCCCTCAGTCCTTCTTACAAGGTTCCTGGACAGGCCTGCCTTACTCGGCCTCCATGGTGGGACACCTTCCCATGACAAGCCACCACTGTGGAGGCTGGGGTCATGGAAACACATAGGAGTGCTGCACATGGCACAGGCGCATGCCTGCACTCAGGTAATATTGCTCCCAGTCTTGCACAGCGATGCGAAGGAGACTGATCAGTATATGGGAATCTGCTAGGGGGAGGAAGAGGCAGGGAATACTCTCTGGCAAGCAGTGTTGGCTGCTCTCGCACACCTCCCCCAACACTCTCCTCCAGCAGTGATTGAAGTTCTGTCTCTGTGGGATGCCACCAGTGATTGACCCGACATGTGCGGGACACAGTAGGAACCTGAGTTGCCCCATTTCCCTCCCTGCCTTCAGGGTCCTGGCCTGGCCAGCACCTATCCTGAGCTGTGGGGGTAGCAATACTTCCCTGGGATATCTGTGCCCTTGCATGAAAGTGCCCACTTTCTAGGCAACATATGGCCTTGCTCAAAGCACATCACCATCCTCTGAACCGAGACCTTCAATGTTGGCTCAGAGATTAGGGCTAGGTTTCATGCACATTGGGTCCTGGGATCACTGCCCTTGTAACTATTCTTCACAGCTGGGCCATCTGCAAGCTTGGTGCATACCCAACCTCCCACACCATCTACCTGACTCTGTGGAATCCAACAGGCAGAAATGCACCTGGGAGGACCTAATGTGGGAACAGATGGCCTGCCTGCAGTCCCTCATCTGGGGGCTTGAGGAAGAGTGCCAGGAGCATGCCATTGCCTAGGAGGAGATCTGGGTGCCAGCTGGCATGCCAGCACAATGCCATGTGCTCCTCCCTCACCTTGGTGAGGGAGCACATGGCCTTGTGCATGTAGTAGCCAAATCCCTGCCTCCTCTATGGCTTCCCATCCTAACCCCTTGAGGTGCTGCTGGGGCCCCAGAACATGGGGCAGTGGGACCTCTCACGTAGCAGAAGCCTTCCGACTACCTAGAGGCAGGCACCACTGCCAGACCCATCCCTGAGCTCCCCTCTCTTCCACCCCCCAGGTTCCAGGTTCTTTCCTTAGTCCTTCTCCTGTTCTATGTCCCTCCAATAAACAGTCCTGTATTTCAAAAAACATGTCTTTATTATTTGCTCAGCAGGGGAGGGGAGAAGGTGGGAAGGGTGGGCAGGGGAAGGAAGGGGGGAGGAAAGGAAAGGCACACAGGGGGAATGCAGGGGCCCCGTGTGGAGAGGCACAGGGGAGAGTTGCATAATTGCCTTGTATGAAACTCTCCCTCAAGGCCTCCCTGTTGAGCGCAGGCCCTTTATGTGCTCTCCTGATGGTGCTGGTGTCTGGCTGCTCAAATTCTCTGGCCAGCCATTCAGCTTCTCCCCCGATGCTGGCAGAAAAGTCTCCCCCTTGCTCTCACACAGGTTGTGGAGCACTCAGCAGACTGCCATCACAAAGGGGATGTTGCACTCGCTGAGGTCCAGGCAGGTGTGGAGACTCCTAAACCTCCTCTTTAATTGGCTGAATACATATTGAATGACTATGCAGTACCTGCTCAGCCTGCTGTTGAAGTGCTCTTGCTGGGGTCCAGGCTACCCGTTCAGGGCTTCATTAAGCAGGGGGGCAAGAGATAGACTACATCGCCCAGGATCATGATGGGCATGTCCATCTCTCCAATTCTGATGGTGTGGTTGGGGGAAAAAAAGTGCCCGTGTGCATCTTTCAGAAGAGGCAGGTGTTCCGGAAGATGTGGGGATTGTGAGCCTTTCCTGACCAACCAACACTGATGTCAGAGGAGCATCCCTTGTGATCCATGGGGCCTACAGTGCCATTGAGAAGTACCCCTTTCTGTTGATGTAGTCTGATGGATGATGGTCAGGGGTCAGGCTGGGAATGTACATGCCATTTATGCCCTTCCCCACTCCCCACAGTTGGGGAAGCCCACAGCAGCAAAGCTGTCAACTATACTGTCCACATTCCACAAAGTGATGACCCTCCGTAGCAGCACCTGGTTCATGGCCTTGGCTACCTAGATGAGCATGGCCCTGACTGTGGATTTCCCCACACCAAAATAGTTTCTGATAGAGTGGTAGCTGTCTGGCATGGTGAGCTTCCAGAGTGTAATGGCCATGCACTTCTGCATGGGGACGGTGGGTTGCATGCCAGTGTCCTGTCACCTGTGGGCAGCGGCGAGCCACTTGCAGAACTCGAGGAAGGTGGACTTCTGCATGCGGGAGTTCTGCAGCCACTGCTGGTCGCACCATCCCTGCATGATGACGCAGTCCCACCTGTCCAACATTGTCTCCTGCCACCAGTATCCAGGGGGTTGAGGGGCATGTGCAGCAGCAGGAGAAGCAGGGTGAGAAGAGCCTGCGGCCCACACTGGGGTTCATTCTGTAGGTCCTGGTTCTTGTCCTGCTGGAGCAACATGCGGGCAGTCTGGACGAACTGCCCCATGAGGTGCAGTACAAGGCCTGCATGCCTAGCACTGCTTTGTAGCAGTTCTGGCTCCATGCTGAGTGCTGTGGCATCTGCGAGGGCAACCAGAGCGCACTGCATCCCTTTTGTGTCCTATGAGGGGCAGGGCAGTGGATGAGTGGTGTGAGACGTAGCTATAGAGAGGAGCCCCTGAAAGCATACATTGCAAGTTGCCTGACCAAGCAGCCACAGGAAGTGTCTGCCCTCCTGGTGCCCTTCCGGGAGCTCTAAGTCTAAGGCAGTCTCCAATCAGAGTGGGCACACTATTGCAGAATAATTCTTATTAATATTGATGCTTCCTTGTAGTAGGAACATGCTATTTCAATTTTGTTAAATTGGAAGTTATTATGTTGATTTTACTTATTTAAAAATAATTTCTTAGTGTAGACATGTCCTTAGAGTATGAGGAATGCATGCTATTAGAGTCCAGAGCCATGAATAATAGGTCATCTCCATGCAGAAGTTTCAAAGAGATGAGCTTAATAGCACTGGCACATAATCAATACCATGTCAGTGCTCTTGAGGAAATCTGGAGTACATCAATAGAATAAAAAGAAAATTGTGTTACTGTGTATAATCAGTTACATGTGTCACTACAATGTTATGCAATATGCCTGCACAGGTACACTGTGACTATGTTGCTACAGTGCTGATAACTATTGATCTGTATTCAATACCATAAAATGGTATTAAAATTAGAGCACAATTTTAATATGCTAATGCCATAAGCATAATAAAGAGTTTGGATTTTGTCAATAAATACAAAAAATACTTCTTTATTATCTTTTCAGATGTAATTGTGTGGAGCCAGATAATCCTAGCAATAAGACCTTGAAATACTGGAATGACAATAATATCTCCGCATCGGACATAACTTGGGGAAACCTAACCGTGTCAGTAAGTGAAATAGTGAGACCTAATAAAAACTGAATGTTATCTTTTCTTCAATAGTTATTATTAATAAATTACACTGTTCCAGTTACGAGTCTGTTGTTTAAGTAAGGCACATATAGGACTTTGCTGAACAAAGGTTAATGTAGGTTTTTTATCATTAACATTTTTATAAACCTTTTGGTAGGTTATTATATAATCTTTATTAGTACATATTAAAACAAGAATGTGCATCATTGTGCACTGCTTTGCAAATGTGTTTACATACTAACAGAGAAGTATGACTCAGATTATGTCTAAACACATCAAATGACAACAAAGGATTTGACCTAAATTCTACCAGATGGCAAAACCAAAGCTGCCTTGTCTAAAAAGAACCTATAAGCTTCTATTTCTCCTCAAATACTCTGCCAGCTGTTCAGGCTATACTAACAGGGATGAGAGAAGGAAGGGAGAGAAGGATTATTAACATCCCAGTTAGTTGCTAAAGATCGATTTTATCCATTCCTTCAATGTCAGCTATGTACTGAATGGCTATTGGAGTCGTGTACATGTTTCTTAGACATAAAAGAAATCAAGCCATCATTCTACAGTATCTAATGAAACATGTATTATTCTTGAAAGAACTTGGCGTATGTACAAAATATTTGTTCCTGACCTGTATATTTTTCTGGAGAGGGCTGGAGACAAGGAATCTTACACTTTTTTATTTTTCTTTCCCTCAGCTGTTTTTGAAGCTTGCTTGTAAATGGCATATTTGAACATAGGTTTTTTTCTGCCATGCAATATTTTCTTCTTTGTACCTAGAAAGAGAGAAATCTGAGGCAGGCTGAGACTCATAAGATGAGGCTTTTTTGATTTCTTCAGTAGGCAAGGTCATCATCATAGGCACCAAATGTACTCTTTCATCTTCATGAATTTCTTTTCAGATAACTAGGCCGAGGGAAATCTTTCAAAAGCAAAACTCAGAATTGCCTTGATTTAGTCAAAGTCTATAAATGTAAATTCAGTTGTTACTGAAGTCTTTCTGCAGCATAGATTTTCAACTGGGGAGTTGCCTTTAGACACAAAGATCTAAAAAGGGTCATAACCATCTTCTCTTTCTTTGTGGCTTGATGAGAGTGCGTGTAGGGGGTTGTCCTTTTTTGTGTCTGTACCATGGTGTCACCGTACGGAAAATGTTACTATTCTAAGGGATCCCAGAGTACTAGAGGGAACATTCTATGGATTTAAGCAAACACCTGATAGTTAAGCTCTCAGAATAACAAGAGAAGGTGTCTGCTATCACAGTGTTTCTCAGAATATATTTGTAGCTTAGATATAAAACAACTAATTCTGTTTTAACAATAAATGTTACCAATCTTAATGTGTGATATCCCCTGAAAAATTGCACACAAGGAAGGATTCAAGGATGTATAACTACGTTTCCTCTCAAAGACTAAAAGCCAATAATCTAGTTTCAATTGGGAGCAGTATGATTTAACAGATTTTCCAATATCCCTCATGCTTGTTAAGTTTTCGGACTTCCTGACATTTATGTATTTACTCATGTTTTGAAATGTCTTGCTGTTATTCACAGCTCCTCCCTTATATCAAAATACGCCAGTGAGGGCCTACAGTGCTTTGTTCTGGTTGCACACAGACAGCCCTGTATTTTCCATGTTTTAACCTTTGTTACTGTTCATAGAGGTAGGCCTCATAGGTGCAATGCTTAGCAAGGATATGTGAGCCAAGTTTGTCCGAAAAGCAAATAAAATACTTTTTTTTTATTAACTGCACAAACACTTGGCTGAGTCTGGGCTTATTCAGATGTCTGCAAATCTCTGCAAATCTCTAGTTTGCACTGGCCACTCTTGGCCTAAGTCTACAGTAGATCAGGCAGGTTGACTTTTTTGTGTAGCTGGATTCAGCTTATCTTAAGCTGAACCCTGCCACAGCATCTACACTGCAAGAGGCTGACAGGAGCACGTGCTCCTGTTAGCATTCCTTACTCCTTGCAGAATGAGTAGTACAGGACACCAGCAGGAGCTGCCTTTAGTGTTCAGTTTGGAGAGGGCTGATCTTCTCTGTAGCGTAGACATCCTCTGAGGGTACGTCTAGACTACAGGCTTTTGTCAACAGAAGTTTTGTCGACAGATACTGTCGACAAAACCTCTGTCGACAAAGAGCGTCTACACTACATTCAGTTCTGTCGACATGATAGTGTAGACGCAAAGGACAGTTTACATGCAATAACCCCTTCTGTTGACAGAAACTCTGTCGACAGAAGGCGTTTTGCCTCATAAAATGAGGTTTATCAGCGTCGACAAAACTGCTGAGTTCTGTCGACGTCATGTCGACAGAACTCAGCGGTAGTGTAGACGCAGGTATAGTTTTGTCGACAAAAGTCCACTTTTGTCGACAAAACTCTGTAGTCTAGATACACCCATAGGCTACGTCTACACTGGCCCCTTTTCCGAAAGGGGCATGCTAATTTCACAGGTCGCAATAGGGAAATCCGCAGGGAATTTAAATATCCCCCGCGGCATTTAAATACAAATGTCCGCCGCTTTTTTCCGGCTTTTAGAAAAGCCGGAAAAGAGCGTCTACACTGGCCCCAATCCTCCGGAAAAAAGCCCTTTTCCGGAGGATCTCTTATTCCTACTTTGAAGTAGGGGCCAGTGTAGACGAGCCCTTAGTGTCTTGATACAGGCATTAGTACAGTCATTGATATCTATTTTGACAGGATAAAACTCATTCTGTGCATAGAGCATCATAAAGAGACTATGCTTTAGTTTAACAGAGGCAGTTGTAATTTTTCATATGGTGTCCCAAAATCCTGGGAACCTTGGGCTGCCTAAAATATCCTGTGTTTTTTGTTTTTATTTCATCAAAGTTTTCTGATTTTCAGTACCTACTATTTGTCCCAGATGTATGGCTATATCAACACATATGTTTTGCACACCCTTGTCCTATACTAGGGTGGTTTCATGGCAGTCATTCTTCAAAACCAAAGTTTGTCATAAATTGTCTAGCCATGGTACTGCAATGTGTCTAAGTCAGTGTAGCCTCAGTGTGCAGCTTCTGAGTCAGTGTAACTGCTGAAAAAACTCTGCTCTTGCAGCATATAATGGGAAGGAATAGGTACTTGGTGTTTGTTATAGCCTCACTTCTCTTTGTCTCTGTGAAGACCAGAACATGAAGATGAGGAAAGTGTGGAACAGATGGTCCATAGGAGATGAAGCAGAACTTTGCCTGTCTTTGATCTGCTCCAAGGGAGCTTTTCTGACCTAAATAGAGAACGTCAATGAAGACTGTCACAGTGTAGAGCACCTGAGTATTCTATGACTCTAATCAATGTTTCCACAAAAAGTGCCCCAGTTTGTTATTTTGAGAATATAGTTAGTTACTTATTCACCAAATAAGTCTTCTCTTGTAGGGAGGGTATTGGGGAGTAGACTCTCAATTCTGGTTGTTCTTTTTCTGCTGTTCCTTTACTGTGGCTATGTCTAGACTGCAAGCCTCTTTCGAAAGAGAGCGTCTAGACTACACGGAGAAATTTCGAAAAAGCGGCTTGCTTTTTCGAAAGAAAGCATCCAGTGAGTCTGGATGCTCTCTTTTGAAGAAGCCCTATTTACATTGAAGAATGCCTTCTTTCGAAAGAGGAACTTTCGAAAGAAGGCGTTCTTCCTCGTAAATTGAGGTTTACCGCCATCGAAAGAAAAGCCGCGTTCTTTTGAATTAATTTCGAAAGAACGCGGCTTGAGTCTGGACGCAGGGGAAGTTTTTTCGAAAAAAGGCTACTTTTTTCGAAAAAACCCCTGAGTCTGGACACAGCCTTAGTGAGTGAACTGTGGGATTCCATGTTCTACAGTTTACATCTTCATAGATTTTCCACAATTCTGTACTCTTTATTTAGGAAGCTGAACACATCTGTCTTTAGGGCTGCCCATTAATCATTTGTTAAGATTTCTACTGCAGGGGTATCTGAAATATGAGGTTCACATCTGAGATTTAAGTTGCAACAGATCTGTATTTCACGTGATGACTTAGGTTATCTTTTAAAATAAATTGGATAAAATTTGTCAAATTGTGACACATCAGACTTCAAAGTGAAGCTGTCACCTGAAATAGATATAAATGTTTGTTTTGTTGTGTTCCCTGAATTTTATCAGATCTTTTTTAGAAACAATCTCAGCTTTTTCTAAAGCAATGACAATCTTGTAGAGTACGCTGCCCCCTTCTGGCAAATACATGTGCTAGTTCAATTCTGGGATAATATGTAGCTGTGAATAGTATTGCTTCAAATTATAGAGTTAAATCAAACAACTAACACTTGAAAATGCAACAAGGGTAGCCTTTATTTTAGTATTTTATTTCCTTTCTCAGCAGCCGTATGAAAATTAAATATTAAAAGAGTACTACCAAACTGTTTAAAGCCAAATACAGATTTGTTTCAAAACATGGGTGAGGATTTATTTATGCAAACAAATTTGCCCATTCTCAATTTAAATAACAGTGTTTATGTCATTAATTCTTGCTAAGAAAAATTAACATAATATTGCTAAGTTTCTTTAGTGCTCTGAGATGTTCTTTATTCTGAGATGGACAATTATCATTTTCTAGCTTTCCATTTTTCTTTGTAACTTTCCAGCCGAAAAGTGGAATTTATCCATACAATCCAGATATATACACTTTGGTTTTTAAATTAAGGAAGTTTAAATTTCTTAAAATTAGTATATTACTAACAATAAATTATATGATCTAATTTGTCATTTATTTAACAGAGTAACTAATTATAGGAAAAATATATATACCAGCAAATACCAGGGCATTTTTCAAAACAATCCTGCTTTGTTCTTTCTGTTAGGAATGTAGGATGTTTCATGGAGAGTATGTTGGCCAAGCCTGTGGACATCATGGCCCTTACGTTCCAGATGTTCTCTTCTGGTCAGTCATCCTGTTCTTTTCTACAGTAACACTGTCATCCACACTGAAGCAGTTCAAGACTAGCCGATATTTTCCAACAAAGGTATCAGGAATGTATCTTTTTAACACAAAAGTTTGTGTAAATTTTATAAATCTCCACAGTTTCTTGCTTCTCTCTATTATTTCTTGCTGAGTGTAGTGCTGTGGTTGCTTGTGTTTG